AAAAGGGCTCTATAAAGACTACAGTCCTTCTAACAGGGGGCTATATGGGTTTCCATGTTAGTTTGGGGGAGTGTAGTTTTCGCTGATTTTGCTAAAGCTCTAGATTCAGGTTGGAAAATTTAAGGTTTATAGGGTTTTTGGAAAAGGGGTTAAGGTTTGGGGTTTAGGGTTTAGGGTTTTGTGTTGAGGTTTTAAGTTTGGGGTTTTGGGTTGGGGTTGGGTTTGGGGTTTAGGGTTTAGGGGTTTCAGGGTTGGTTTTCGGGTGGCCAAGATGTAGCTGAAACGTGACCTAGGCTTTCAGGATAGCTCGCGAGTCGGCCCAACTCGCAATCCAGACACCTGCTACAAATCCTGAACCCGAAGCCTCTCAGCCCCAAACCCCCAAACCCCTAAACCATCAAACGTGTGGCAAGCTGCCACCAGCTTCCCAGTGTCCGTGCCATCGTCAGTGAGAAACTGAGTGACCACGGTCATTGGCTTCTTGGAGTCCACCTCATGGGGCTTAGGGTTGAAAAAGGAACTATGTAGCGTTTTGCATAAGGTGATAAAAAGATTTTGCTAAGCCCCGGCCCCCCAAAGTTACGAGTCTCTAGCTCTTAGATAACTCATATGATTAGAATATGGTCCCAATTTTTTTGGGGGGGTGGTTACTAGTAACTAGTACTTACTGGGGGGTTAGTAGGGAATAAGGAAATATACTCCCTACATAATCCCTAAATAATATACTCCTTTATTCCCTACTAAACACCGAACCCTAAACCCTAAACCGTTCATATATAGTCCCTTAGTCCCTACTAATCCCCAGTACGAATATCTCCTCACTGCTCTTTTGGGAAGAGATGTCCTGAACCCTGGAGATCCGTGTCTCGTGAACCCTGGAGATCCGTGTCTCGGTCTACCCAGCTTAAAGTTTGGGATGGCTTAGGGTTTAGGGTTTAGGGATGGTTTAGGTTGAGGAGCTAGGGTTGAAGCTTTGGGAATTCGACTGTTTTAGGCGCTTGGAAAACACCGTCTTAGCTGCTTCGGGCGTCTATAACAAATCAAAACTGAAAACCGTTTCTAGGGACACCTTGAGGGGCCTCAACCTCAAAAGAAACCTTCTCGCTGTGCGGTTCTGGCCTCATAGCCCTTTCCGGGACCGTAGAAGTCCGTGGCGCCCATGCGGTAGGTGTTGAGGTCGCAGCCATCCTTGTCACAAAGGCCCTTCCAGCGCTCCCCATTCTCCCCATAGCCGCACTCAATGTTGCCATAGCACCTCTCCGGTCCCACTGTGCTGCATGGGTGCGGCGTATAGGCGGTAGCTCTCTTGTTGGCCTCCCAGATGTCCATCTCCACACAGCAAATGCCCATGGAGGTGTTGGTCTCGAACTTCTCATGCGGGCACTGCGCATCACAGTAACCTGTTCCGAACTTGGCGCCCGCTGCGTTGCCGTCGCGGCCCATGCCGCCAAAGGGGTCCATCTCAATGAAGTAGACTGCCCCGTTGGTTCCGCAGCCCAGCTTCTTCATATTGACATCGAGGGTGAACTCCCGGTTCAGAAGCTTGAACATCTTGTAGGAATGCTCCGTATCCCTGATGTAGAGCCGGGAGCCGACGTTGCCGCCCTCTGTCGAGAAGTCGAGCTTCACGCCGATGGGCTCGCCGTCAGCATCCTTCGCATCGGCATCGGAATCATCATCCTCCTGGAAGTTTTGCAACACAGGGGGCAAATAGGGACCCTCAAGATATGCGGGGATTACAGAGGGAATCTACCAGTGCCCAGCATTGAGTGCATCGAGGCAAATGTCAAGAAACGTCTTCCTCATCGTCATCATCATCATCGTCGTCGTCATCATCGTCGCTCTTGCCAAACCTCAGCAACCCATGATCAAAAGGCTTCGCAGCAGATAGAAACGCAAGTCGTGGAATGGTAGAGGTCCGCCCAAGTACGTACTGCAGCTTCTTACACAAACAAAATGCAACCCCAATGCGTACAATGAGGACCCTATAAGCGTCACATGATAATGACGAGGGGTAACCGGAACCACTTGCTCATGCAAAAGCATCCGTATGTCATCCCTGTATAACTCATGTTCGATGTCATGTCTGATAATTCTTAGTTTGCTTCTCTATCATTGGAGCTCCTGTCCCGATTGTCTGGACCCCCCAAACCCTATATATATTGGGGTATAATCCCCTGTGTACGTCTGCTATACATCAGTATATATACCTACGTGTGTCCCCCCAACACATCTTCCCTAAACCCTACATCCCTGAATCCCCAAACCCAGGAAATCACTTAGCTTCACTCAGTGCAGGGAGTAGGGGCATCTGACGGACGCCATAGTTCTTCTTGTAGCCCTTGGCGTCTACCCCTTCAACCGCGCAGTTCTGCTTGCACGTCTCCGGGTCAGGGCAGAACCTGGTTGTTGAGGCTTTGGGGTGTTGGGTTTAGGGTGTAGGGTTTAGGGTTTAGAGTTTAGGGTTTAGGGCTTAGGGCTGTTTACTGAGGGTTCGAGTCAGGGTTAAGCGTCGGGCTGAAGTTTGGGACGTAGGGTTTAGGGATTTTGTGCGGAAGTATATTGCATGGTACTGCTTTGAAGCAAATGAGAACTATGAGAGAATAATGTTCCTAGTCCTAGTTGTGTGTTCTGCATAATCCTAAACGCCTTCGGAACTTCAGTGCTTTGCATACCACTAAGGTCATGCAGGGTTCTTAGTATCTGAAAATAGCACTCACTGCGGCTCGAAAGATAGATGTAGCACCAAGGACACAGCATCACACATCGTGCGAATGTGCAGCTTAGCCTTTTGCACAGCAGCTTGCTGCAGACCTTCTAATATTCACCTGCAGAAAGCCATGGCCAGCAAGTGCAGGAATAGAAGTCGCTCAACCCTAAACCAGAAACCCACACTTTGGACCCTAAACCCTCAGATTTGACCTCCCTAAACTTTGAACCCCAAACCGCTGCAAGGTCTCCTGGAAGTGCATGAGCTTGAGAGCTCAAATTTGTTGACTGAGAGGGGGGAGTCTGAATCAGTCTTTCTTGAGAAGGATGTAGAAGTCATCTGCTCAAAATTGAAAAAAATCCAAAACTCAGCCCAAAATGTGCAGGCGAGTCGGCAAACACCCGCACAAATGCCTAACTTTATCCCAAACCTTAAACCCTAGACCCTAAACCCTAAACCCTAAAACCCAAACCTACCCTAAACCCTAAACCTTAGGATACCTCACCCAATCGAGGCTCCACCTCTGTCCACATAGAGGGCTTCCAAGAATCTACGGGCCCCCTTTTCAAAAACCCTAAACCCTAAACCCTGCAGAAGGCATCGTGGGATCTGTAACTACCTGAGGGCGGCCCAAATTCTCGAAAATGCCCAAAGTATAACAAATCCAGCAAGGATCCCAAAAAGGCCTAGCGTGCTTGTAAAAGTGGTCGTTATGTGGCTCCAGCTTGGCAGATACGGGATCCCTAAATCCTAGAACCTAAACCAAAACCTTCAACCCGAAACCTCAAGCCGCAAATCCTAAACCCTAAACTCCAAACCCCAAACCCCAAACCCTAAGCCCCAAACCCCAAACCCCAAACCCTAAACCCAAATCGAGCAACTCTTCATTCCAGCCCTCGCTGGAGAAGCAGTTCTGGTAGCCACCGACGTTATGGACCCATCGCCAGTTTGAGTCGATGACCAAGGTTACCTTCCTTGCAGTTTGGGGTTTGGGGTTTAGGGT